GCTGCCACCCTCAAATAAGCGCAAAACCCCTGCCACACCACGCGAAGAAGAATCTCTCAGCGACACAGTTCTAACTCTTAACGATAGGATAAACGCCCTCGAAAATAAAACACAGAAGAAATTCGCCGTCATTGAAAGTAAGATTTCTCACATAGAGAGCAGATTCACAGCTCAGGAGACGGGCCAAGCTGCCATAAATGACAAACTTGACAAGTTTCTAGATTTTGTACAAACTCAAATGCAGCAGACCACTGCATGGATTGCGGCCGTCACGGCCAATAATCCAAATATAGCCGTACCCGCCTTCTCTCCTACACCCCCTCCCGACAATGGCTGCAAACCCTAATCGCTCGAACTTTGTAGTATGGCAATGGAACTGCAGGGGGTTCCGCAAAAAGAAAGCGACTCTTCAACAATATTTGGCCTCCTGCCCCAAACCCCCTGCAGTCATTGCCCTACAAGAGACCCACGGAAACATAACTTTTCCCGGTTACAGTGTACACCAAACTAAATCTCTAAATTCTCCCGATACTGCAATATTAACGCAAAAACATTTGACGGTAACTCACTCTAATTTCGACGGCGTCGATGTGGAGCACAACTTTTTGGAGGTCCTTCCTTGTAAAACTCAAGAATCGCCTTTATACGTATTAAACGTCTATAGTAGGCCACAGGCGAAACACCATCGCTTCAATACTCTCTTTGCCCGAGCCATTGCGGCCGCGAAACATCACCCTCTCCTAATACTTGGTGATTTTAATGCACCAAATCAAGTATGGGGCCACTCTGTTTCTACACCCAAGGGTAGGGCTTTGTGGGTTCACATACAGGATCACCGCCTCACCCTCCACAACAATATAGACATGCCCACTAGATTAGGTAATAGTGTAGCTAAAGATACATCTCCCGATCTTACACTCAGCCATCGCGTTCACTTTGTCACATGGACCAACCTGAACATTAACTTCGGTAGTGACCACTACATTATTCAAACTACCATACACTTCCGACACAAACCTTTAGCTCCCAAGCGCCTGAGCCTTATTAACTGGAACAAGTTTCGCGAGGCCCGTCACTGCTCGGCGCCTACTGAGATAGATGATATCTCGGAATGGGTACAGCAATTGCACACTGACACAAAAACGCATACCACCATGTTACCACCTGATACGCCTTTTACAATAGTTGACACCCGACTTCTTCACATGTGGGAAGCTAAGCAATCTCTCCTCAAACGCTGGAAGAAGAGGCGACATAATCGCCGACTGAGACTGAGAATTGCGAGACTCGATTTGCAAATTCAGGACTATGCCATACAGCTTGCTTGTCAACAATGGACCCAGAAATGCGAAAGCATGCATGGCCACCTAGACAGCAAGATGACATGGCAGCTCCTGCGGCATTTATTAGACCCTACCATATCACGTACCGCAAATAATCATCACATTAACAAACTACTTCACTCGCACAAAGGTAACTTAAACACTCTTTTTAATGATCTTCGCGACAAACACCTACCCAGCGCGTATCGATACGATGCACCTGACTATATCGGACAACCAAATTATGATCTCAGTAGCCCCATAACGGAGGCTGAGGTTAGACACGCGCTTGCGAACCTTCGCACCTCATCTGCACCAGGCCCTGACCTCGTCAATAATAAACTTCTCCGCAACTTAGATGAAAACTCAATTATAGCCCTCACTAAATTTTTTAACCACTGCTTCGACACTTCTACCTTGCCGGCTGCGTGGAAGGACGCCAGAGTTATTTTCATACCAAAACCTGGTAAGCCCATAAACACAGCCAACCTACGTCCGATTTCCCTCACTTCATGCATCGGAAAAACACTTGAACATGTAATCCTCAACCGCCTTAGCAAATTTATAGAAGAACACAACTTATACCCTCACGAAATGATAGGCTTCCGTAAATCCCTTTCCAGTCAAGATGTCATGCTTCGACTGAAGCATGACATCATTATCCCTAACTCTAGCCTCGATACTCAAGCAATTCTCAGTCTCGATCTCCATGGGGCTTTTAACAACGTCAGCCACACTGCCATATTGAGTGAACTGAGCGCTATAGGCGTTGGTAAAAAGATTCATGATTACATATCTGCGTTCCTTTCGAACCGTACGGCAACTATTTACATTGGGTCTGAACACTCTTGTTCTTACTCCTTGGGGAGTTTCGGCACACCTCAAGGATCAGTGTTATCACCTTTCCTTTTTAACATCGCGATGATGCCGCTGGCTCGAACGCTGAGATCCATATCAGATCTCAAATTTTCACTTTATGCAGATGATATTACCCTCTGGATGACAGGCGGCTCCGATGGTCACATTCAGGAAACTCTGCAGACTGCTGCTGACAGGGTGGTGGTTTGTGCGGGTAACATGAATCTGACCTGTTCACCCACTAAATCTGAACTGCTCCTCCTTCCTGCCCATCGGGGCTCTGAAAAGCACATCTCTGATATACAAATAACACTGAACAATACACCCGTGCCCAAAGTTGACAGACTCAGGGTGCTTGGACTACACATACAACGAAATCGACTAAACACACACACCATTAAAGCACTTCAAACAACTGTGGACCACACTCTACGCCTTATAGGCAGGATATCTAATAAGCATGGCGGGCTACGAGAGGCAGAGCTCCTCCGCCTCATCCAAGCCTTCGTCCTCAATAAAGTGACTTATTCTCTCCCTTATCTGTTCCTTCTGAGAAGAGAACAAAATAACGTAGACACTTTGTTACGTAAAATCTACAAATTCGCTCTCGGAGTCCCCATTCGAACGTCCACCGCACGGCTCATGGAGACAGGCACATTGAACACCTTAACTGAACTTATTGAAGCACACTTAACTTCACAATATGCTCGTCTTTCCAACACACAGACCGGAAGATACATACTCGATACCCTCAGTATCAGGCCAACTCCAACCACTAACGCCAAACACACTATTCCGCGTGAAATACACAAGAATCTACTCATTCCGCCGCTCCCTAAAAACATGCACCCTGTGCACCACGAGCAACGTCGACGACAGCGTGCAAAAACTCTCGAAAAACGATTTTCTACTTCTAAAGAAGTGCTCTACGTTGACGCTGCCGAATACAGTACTCGTCCTTTTTTCGCCCTCTCAGTTGTGAATTCGCTAGGTCAGATATCTGCTGCTGCTTCTATTTCTGCTTCCTCTTCTGAGGAGGCGGAAGAGGCAGCCATAGCTCTGGCCCTTACAGTTCCAAATTATTCACTTATTATTAGTGATTCAAAAACTGCCATCTACAATTTTGGAGCGGGTAGGGTGTCCAAAACAGCCCTCTCCCTCCTTTTGGCCCATCCCCCGCAACAAGACACGGCTTTAATATGGACTCCCGCGCACGCGGGCCTTGCCGGTAACGAGGCGGCTCACGCCAGCGCCCGAGGATTTACGTTCCGGGCGCAGGCGCTGGAAGAGCCAGGCCCCGTTTCGACAACGGCACCGTTTGCTGCGCGGGATCGCCTTTTAACATTTCACGACATCTGTAGTCACTACCGCCTTGGTCGTTTATCCTTACCGCCGCTAACGTCGAAATCCATACGAAGGCGCGAAGTACTGTGGCGACAGCTGCAGACTCACACCTTTCCTTCTCCTTACATTCTTCACCTCATGTACCCTTCTCTTTACCCGTCCTCCTCCTGTAAATATTGCCCCGCACAGAAAGCAAATCTTAATCATATCATGTGGGGGTGCCCTAAGCACCCCCCTCCACCGTCCCTTCGAAAACTAATTAGTAATGAGGAGCAGTGGGAGGCTGCCATGCGCAGCTTGAAACCCGACGTCCAGGAGGCCATCCTGGGTTGGGCAGAGAGGGTTGCGGAGGACTATCGAGCGTAGCAATCTCTCCTCATCTCTCTTCCATTGCACCTTTCCTTTACAAAGGAAAAATAAAGTTTATACCTACCTACCTCTTTTTTTCCTTTCTTTATTTACATTTTTGTCTGTTCTCCTATATGTTCTTATGTATGTTCCTTTCTATATCTTCTTCTATTTGTCTTTCTTTTTTAATTCTCTCGCCGTACTCGTTTTCCCGCAGATCCTAGTTGTTGCATCTCACGCCAGACAGACCGGAACAGCAGGGGAGCGCGCGCGCTGGGGGGGGGGGGGTTAAGAGGGAAGCAGACGATGAGGATGAAGAGAGAGTTATGTGCGAGTTTTTGCTGCATGGCATGCAGTGTAGAAAAAAAAAAGGTAGAGGTTTATTATGATAATAATAGCTTTTGCGAACTCTTGAAGGCCTAATTAAAAACATGACATTGCCGCTGTAATAGGCGCGCTGTGTTTCACCGCGCCTCTGCAGACTCGCAGTCATAGCACACGTTACTACATGCGTCACTGGGACAAGAACATGACTCCGAGATTGCACGCTAGAAGGTTACCAAAACGAAACACTAGAGCTGTAGCCTGCCAAGGCAAGAATCGGGGGAAGTATATTCTAAGAATATCGAAGAGGCTCTTGGCTGAAATATATCCTGCAAAAAAAAAAGAAACATCAAAAGCACATACATTACTCTTTTCATAGAGTTTCATGCCATAATTGCTTGAAACTCTGTAAATCTGTTCAACAAAATATCACTTATCTGTTAGAGAAATGATTTAAACTCCAACCAAAAAGTACGTACCTTTTGGTAGGAGTTTAAATCATTTTCCAGTTTTTATACCCAATCAGACAGACATCTTTCGAATGTTTACATTCATTTATAAGTCTGCTTTTCGCCAACAGACGCCACAACAATCAGCAAAGGTATCAGGTCCTTAGAATGTAGGAATCTCACGAAGGTATGCAGACAAATCTCGAAGGCCATATGCTTTACGCCATTTCCAGGCCGTGTCAAAATATCCGCAGCATAAACACATTATTATATAAAATAAAACAACAAATTAAAAGAAAAATTACAATAAACTAACAAGCAAGTTTTCAATATTGTGTTTTACGTGATCTTTACAAAAAGCTTTGGTCGATCATCATCATCGTCGTCGTCGTCCTTCATTGGTAACTTCTGCTACTGGTGCGGTCGGTCGGAATGGCTGGGTTGCTAAAGAAGGTATTTATGCAGCTTCTACACACACGTTTCAGTGCAACGTAGTGATCGGCTGCATAGTGTCTCGACAGTCGCGTCATGATGCACTGGTCTCTTACTTTCAGACGACCGGGCTGACGGGACTGGCAGTATCCAAGAACCCGCACCACGTTCGTACTCGCAGTCCTTGGCCTTTACGTAGCCCGACACTGAATGTGGGTCTTTTCGATCGCAGGAGCTGACTGTTCTCTACAACAAGATTCTTCGCGCACTTGAGAAGTTGCCGCAGAGCGCGGCCTACAGGCGTTACACGGAGCAGATCGTGAACGAGCGCCTCTCGCTAGTTCAAAGCGTGAGTACGCGCGTTTATTGTACACCGTTTCAAAGGGTTGAAGCGTTTTGTGCACCGCAGTTTCTGCGTACCGTAGGCGTGCGCAGGGCTCCCTGTTATGTAGGGGCAAGTACTGCCGTAGACCCCCCGCTCACCGTTGTCAACTTCAAAAGCATACTTCACAACAGATAGGGAGGGGGGACAAAAAAAAAAAAAAGTGGTGTGGTGCTTTTAACAGTAGCCTTCCTTCAATCCTTGCCTTCCAGAAGTAAACAGTTAATCGATTCCAAAACATGCGGTGGCTTCGGCTGCTATTATCAGAAACCTGTGTGGCCACTAGTTAGCGAGTGTGCTGGGCAGAGGCAGTGCGAGAGAACGAGGACAACAGAAGAAACGACAGTCGAGCTGCGAGTAGACGCCGCTGTCGATCGTTTTTTTTTTTTTTTGTCCTTCCTCGTTTTTTTGCACTGTTTATTCGTTCAAGACGCAGAGTTCGCCCCCCACTCCCGTGTGCATGCTTGTGCTGATGTTGCATATTGGTTGCTATTTGGCATGGCAGACGACTGAAGTATGTCTATACAGTTCTCAGCATTTGTGTGGGGGCATTAACATTGCCTTGGATAAAGGACTAGTTGCCACCGCAATGGGCTTTCGTGCACATGAGATATCCAGCATTTGTTGCTTACGTTGCCGGTCTGAATCAGTCCTGTTATGTCCTAACGTGTGTATTCGATGCTCTTGCAGGAAAAAGACATCGCTCAGCTGGAAAAGCGTATTGGTGCCGGACAGATTGAGCAAGTGATCAAGCAGGTTGGATCATTTTTACGGCTTATTTCATCTGGAGATGCTGTTCTCCACAAGCTACTGCTTTTCACACTTTGTGTGCGCTCAAGCTGTGATACAGCAGTAATACGAAATAATAGATACTGCATTTTTCGGACAAACTCGAAGGAAGCTATAGCCCCACACCATACTTTGACAAAAGCACATTGCATGCATGGCATGGGAGAGTGAAGGAAGACAGTGCAAGCACTCTATCCACACCGTTTATTTCCTCAAATATTTATTTGCCAAACTAACCTTTTTTCCCACCCTTGCACTTTTTTTTGGTAAACTGGTTTGACCTCTTTTGTGTGCTCAGCAGTTTGTGTATGCAATTTTTTGGGCACTGAAAATCAAGAATGTTAGGTGCACTTTGTAGTAAGAGATCTCTTACATGAAGGACTGTAGCCCACATTATGTCTTGATAGAAATGGTTTTCACTACACAGCACTCTTGCAGTAACTCAAATATGTTTCTTTGAATGCCACCTGTGATGTAAGTAAAATACTGTCATGAAATCCTCTAAGATTTTGTGTGTGTCTATTTAGTGGCTATCCAAACAAAGCAGATGTTCAGGTGAAGATGGCAGCTTGGATAAATGAATAATTTTTGAGCAAGAGAGTGAATGAAAGAAAGGGAATTTCGGGGGCTTGCTTTTCTCTTGGTTAGACACAAAATAATTAAGAACTAACAGACAAGGAAACTTGAGTCACTTGGGCCAACGTTGTGACAAGTCTTAATGGCTTCCATGCAGCAAACTTGTTACCAGTTGCTGCCTTGAAGACTGCTTGTCGAGATATGGGCTCTAGTGACACTCACCACGCAAGGATTTTTCAACTTTTTAGGGGCATATATGTATTGAAGCCAATACAAATTAGGTCAATAAGCAGTTCTTGTATTAATGGGAAAGCCTGTTCATAGTGTACAGTATCTAGCTTAGCTCTTTTCTGTAACATATTGTTTTTGCTTCAGCATCTCCAATCAGCAGTATTAGTTTAACCCTTACCACAGAGTGTCCCGAATTCGCCACATACTGAAAAACTTCGAGCAAATAAGGCATGAAATTGGTGCCACCTTTAATGCCGGCTTTCAAGTACTCATGGGGAATGTAGGTTTCAGCACAAAAAATCTGGCGCTGTCTTGTCTAAGGTGTTTATGATAGAACCAATTCTTCTGTAGCTGATGGCGTAGAGAGCGGAGCGCTTGCTACAGTACTCACTTCATCGTTCTTTCTTGCCTGAATGACACAAGTTCTATCTTCAATAATTTTGTTTATTTGTTGTGTATGCACCCAAGAGATGGCACAGGACATGTTGCGTAGTTCTAAAGTATGTGTCTTGTTGCAAAGTCCTCGCTTCTGTGGTATATGGAGAATTCATGATGTACATCACAAGTATGCATTAAAATTGAATTTTAGATCTTTCAACTGTGTAATCATTTAGAAATTGCTATTTAAAAATGGAAAATGAAAACAAATTTTATTTTTTTCGGTAGTATCATAATTCAGGCATTAAAGAAATAATTATTCATAGAGCCAAATATTTCAGCTCTCAAGTTAAAGCATAGGTATCAAGTTTTCTTTGTTTTACATAGCTGTGGTTGGCACAGTTAATGGATTGCCTGTAGATGGACTAGCTGCTATTCTGTTTTATTCATTAAGATGTTGCTCTTTGTGTTAATGTACTCAAATCACATGTAAACGGCAGTAGGCATGCAAGCACGGATATGAGGAAGAGAGGGGAGAACAATAATGCTGTGACTTCTCTCGTGTCTGTGCATGCATACCCACCATCTTTCGTGAATCCCGAACAGATAACTCTGCTTTCCTTCATTCTAAGCTCCAGCCACGTTAACCCTGGCATTAAATGATTATCATTGGTAGATATTAACTAGTCTTGTGCGAATAGTAAATTTTCTATTTAAAGCAAATTTGAAGGAAATAGCGATTTGTTCATACAACTGCAAATCAAGTTTGAATAGTATATATTGCACATTATGAAGAAATATGAGACTTTGTGATGACCCAACTAACCTGCACAGTATCTTTATTTTCAATTGAGACAAGGCATGTGAAATGTAAATTTAGGTTTTCAGGAAATGTAAGTTACTTTGAATAGAAGCAGAATTTGACTCTCAAATGCAAGTGATAACCTGTAAAGTAAGTTATGTCTTAAAATTTTGTATGCTTAGAGCACATAAGCCAGTATAACAAGCTTTTGAACTTAAAAAGGGACGCATTTAATGAGGATGGGTTCATTTGAGCTTGACGTGGGCTTCGCAGCAATGCGGATTTTTCGTGGATAGGTGTAACCACACTATAGCACTGCTTCTTTGCAGTGAAACCACCTTGATGGGGGTGTGTTACATGCAGAATAGTGTACACACCTGTTCATTCATTTTGAATACTTTGAAATTTCCAATCATTTTAATCTGAACAGAAGCAAACGCAGATGCTGTAATATTCGATTAGGCATTCAAAGGGCTCAGAATGATTGCACAAGCCTAGTGACAACAAAAGAGCAAAAACAAAATTCTTAAAGGGACACTAAAGATGAACACTGACTACTTGGTTTAGATTGACGAACTGTACTCTTAGAAGTCTGATGCCATATGTTTCACTATCAGAAGTCCACTATTGGCGGAGAAAATCAAGGTTGAAGTTTCGTTTTTAAATTGCGTGCCAAAATCTCCGCCCGTGACGTTAGAAATTTCCAAATGTATTTTCGTGCCATTGGCTCGATGAAATTTTCTGAAATTCTGTATGCTAAGTCTGTGGCACCCACAGATCACAATGTACTTCATGTTTATCGATTGGAAGCTACGTTGGACCCAGTAGAGACCTTCAAAATTTCTTGCGCCACGGTGTCTGGTGCAGGAATCTCAAGATGGCATTGCCAACTGCATTTTATTTTCGCACATTTTCTCGCCTACTAAGCATCCTGTCGCAGTAAGAGTGGTGTTTTTGGGATATTGAAATTGTATATTACTAATACGTGAAAAATTGTTTTGCTGTTTTGTGTCCCTTTAAATAAGATGACCACGTATCATACAGATGAATACCATTCAAATAATGTTGTGGTGGTATGTGGTTCTCTTGCAGGCTGAAGGTGAGCTGGTGCTGGCAAGGCGCATGCTAAATTGGAAGCCATGGGAGCCCCTGGTTGCCAAGCCGCCTGCTGGCCAGTGGAGTTGGCCACCCAAGTAATGGACAGCCAACTATAGCGGCAAGATTACTCGGCGAGTCACTTCATGTCTAGCGTGGAAATTGGATGAATAGCCTACGTGGATGGCTTCCTTTGCAACTTTGTTAGAGGCTGCTTGCTTTATGTCATTTATAGTTACAGAATAAATTAATATCAACCACTTCATCAGACCCTGCCATCTCTCAATATATAACATCTTCCCACTATCGCACAGCAGAACAAGAGTGTTGTGAATGTGCATACAAAAGCTGATGCAGCTGCAGTTATTAGTAAAACTAGAAGTAGTAACAATTGATTGCCCCTTTCTGCATAAGTACCTGTGATGCAGTGACAGAGAGAAAAGAGTGGATTACGTGGTTAGCTGAACATTCGAACGTATGTGATTAGCCATAAACAGAAAGCTGATAAGAGTTCGTTTGTGGAATCCAGCATGGCCAAGTTAGAGGCAGGAGCCAATGAATGGTTGAGAACCCGTGCTTTTACCCACATCTTCCTTCCTTTCATGCTTACAGTGACTGTGTCTGGTCTGTACAAAGTATGAGTCTTTCATCCAGCAAAAAAAGTTGAACATGGGTGATACATTCCAGATGGCCTGTCGCTACCAGTAAACGCGTAACGTCGTGGCAGCCTTCTACATCACAGCAGTGCTCCTGCTTTGGCTGCATATGTCTGCATATTATTGTAGAATAGTTTTGTCAGCACAGCTAAGTTATGATTTTAAGCTTTTAGATCAGCCAGTCCCATGTATCTCTTGCTTTCTTGAGCTGCGTGCCACATCTGTGGTACTTATGTGGAAGACAGAGGAAGTGTTAAGTTATTACAAGCTTCAAAGCAGTGTTGCAGGGAGAGACTGCTACTTTTATAATAAGCATGCATGATAAAATTCACCTTAAAGGGTCAGTAAACAGCCCCAAGATCTAAAAAATGTTGTAAAAAGAAATACAGTGCACTTTAGCTTTGTGAACATGCTGGCGCAAGAATTTGCGAATACAGTCTACTCTCATTTATTCAAACTTGAAGGGACCTCTAAGTTTTGTTTAAATTATCAGAAGTTTTCAGATAGATGACTACTGGGTGAGGTAACTGCTGCACATTATGATTAGGCATTAATTTTATCACATTTAAAATTTTTTAAAGTGTTTTTAAACTACTACTGCACGCAATGAAGAGAAAGCAGTGGTGTAAGCTCCACAAGTTTATTGGCCATTTACTGCTGATCAGAGTTTTTAAAGAAGTCCTGAATTTCCAACAGCTTCTATGCTGTAGGTATGTGCTGTAGGTACAGGCACATCCAAGAAATGCACCATACCAAGGAAGAACAGCAAGCACACACGAAATGCACATGTATTTAATCTGTAATGTGTGTTTATTAGGTTTGTGCAAATATTTGAATAGTTGAGTATTCGAATTTGCTTCGAATTTATATCATCGAATATTTTCGAGGTATTCACAATGAACGAATAGGTGTATATTATTCCACGTGTAACCGCTTGTAAAGGTGGTTTCACTTCAATGTAGGAATGCTAAGCTGTGAAAGCACCTATTCAGGAGAAATTTGCTTTGCTGCAAAGCCCTCTTCTAGTTTAAAGAGGCCCTGCAACACTTACTGAGCATGGTCAGAAAACGCTGCCGATAGATAGTCAAGGCTACTGAGAGCACGGAAGACAAATATTATAGTGCAGCACGCGGCTTGCAATTCACAATAAATTTTCAAGGCTAAAAATTGCTTTCTTCCCTCGGCAAATGACACTACAGGCTCAAAAATCACTTGTCACAGCCAAGAAGGAATATACGGCTCTGGTCACAGCCATTGGTTGATTTGAGCACGGCGCGCCCGTCGTTACCGGGGCCACCATGGGAGGCCCTCGCTTGTCTACGAGTACGTGGGCAATTGCACTGAAAAGCCGCGTATTCAAAGGAAAAAAAAAAAAAAAAGATGCTCAATGTCACGAGGTGCGTGTGACGAATTTTCTTTTGCCGTGCCATTCCTCTTTGCTTAGCTTCCTGCTACTTTGTCGGGAGGAGAAGAGGGAATGCAATCGCAGCGTGCAACAAATTTTTGGAACTCCGCTCGTACTGGAGTGATTATAAAAACTTTCAGGCGGAAAATTTGTGAGGCAACAAGCATGTTTACTGGCTCCATGGTTACTTGAAAAAGTGTTTCAGGGCCGTTTTAAAAAAACATGTTACCCTAAAATCAATTCTTCATTTTATTAAGCTTTTTATGACAGCTTATAAGCTCCAGGTATAATAAATTTCCAAACATTAAGTATCATACAGCTTATTACTCGCATCCTACCGAAACAACTATTAAGGTTGTTCTGATTTCCCTTGAAGGAAAAAAAAATACATTTGCATACAGCCCATATTTCGCTTCAAAAGAAATATTGTGCAGGTTAGTTAGATCATGATAAATATTCCCCTTTTGTTATATGTCATACATACCATTCGAATTCAATTCTATGAAAATCACTATTCGCTTTGAACCTGAAATTCACTATTCGCACAAGCCTAGTGTGTACACAGCGACACCTTAGAAACAAGTCATCGCACAAAATTTTATTATATGAAAAATTTGTACTGTAATGTGGGACACGTTGAAGAGGCAAAAAATTGAAGGATGCTCGAGCGTGGTCTTCAAGAGTAGAACGGGATAGTGTAATTGGGCCCCGTGCACAGCGCCTTCTCACTTGCTTAGCTGGCTTTGGTTCTCTGTGCAAGCGTGCCGCAAGGAAACTGATGCCTGTGAGAGTTTCATGGGCTTTTACAAACTATTCTAGAATGCCTACAGCAAGTACAGTTGTACAGTGCCCACTACGCCATAATTCTTCCTTTTGCGAATCAGTCAAGAGCTCACTATGTGTCTGTAAAGCATAGGCTTGTGCAAATATTGTAATACTTCGAATATTCGAACGAATAGTACAGTATTTGAACTTGCTTCGATTCTAATTTAAATTATCGAATATTTCGAAGTATTCAACATGAACGAATATATGTATATTAATCCCTATGTAACCGCTTGTAAATGTGATTTCACTGCAATATAGTTGTGCTAAGCCATGAAAGCATTTATCTAGGGGAAATATGCTTTGTCACAAAGCCCTCTTTAAAGGGGCCCTGCAACAATTTTCGAGCATGGTCAGCAAACGCTGCCGATCGGTAGTCGAGGCTACCGAGAACACGCCAGCTAAATATTATGGCGCAGCTCGCGCTCTGGTTTTCACAATAATCTCAACGTCAGATAAAAATCGCTTTTTTCTCCCGGCAAATGACACCACAATGTCAAAAATCGCTCGTCACAGCCATTGTACCAGCCATAGGCTGATTTGAGCATGGGGGGCTCGGTTGTTACTGGGGTCATCGTGGGTGGACCATGACTGGTTCACATGCACATGCCCGATCGCACTGAAACAGCGCCTATTAAAAGAAAAAAAAAAATGAGAAGGAGTGCTCACGGTCATACTCGCACGTGAAATATTTTCCTTCCCCATGCCATCTCTCCCGGCTTCACTTCAAGCGCTTTTCGTCATGACAAGAACAGAGAATGCAATTGCGGCATATGGCAAATCGCAAAACTCAGTCCGCTTATGCTGGACAGATTCTAGAAATTTTTCCGGCAGTTAATTCACAAAGCAACAAGCTTCTTTAGTGAATCTATTTTATGACTACTTGAAGAGCTGTTGAAAAACCCCTTAAATGAACATATTATCCTCAAATCAATTGATAATTTTTTTAAACTGAAAAGCTTGTTTTGCCGACTTATACACTCTAACTGTAATGGATAATATTACATATTTTACAGGTTATCAGTTGCATCCTACTGAAAGGCAAATCCTGCTACTTCTCAAAGTTGTTTCGACTTCCCTTGAATGGGAAAAAAAAAAGAAAGTACTTGCATAGATTCCTCACTTCAATTAAAAAAATATTGTGCAGTTTCGTTAGGTCATGCTAAATATGCCCATTTTTCTTTATACGTCATATATTCTACTCGAATTTGATTCGAAATTATTTGACCAAAATCACTATTCGCTTCGAACCTAAAATTCACTATTCGCACAAGCCTAGTAAAGCAACATGCAAACCTACGCAGCTGTTCACTTTTTTGATGCTTTTGCTGCTGCTGATGAACAGATATGTATGAGTACTTTGTAATAGGTGGGCCCTTAAAACACCCACTCATTGTGCATTTCACATGTTCGGACATCTAGTGCAATTCTGCTGTTCTGTCACACAATATTACATGCCTTAAGGGCCCTGCGGCACAAGTATAAGCGTGTTATTTCTATAGCTTCGTTTTGAACTGTGCTATGCACCAATATCGTTGCGCGACTGGCAATGACAAAAACAAAGCTATTATGATTTTATTTATATGGAGAAACTACTTAGTTTTCGGACTAGAGCGACACATAGCAACTATTTTCACAATACTAGGAAGTGACGCTCCACCACGTGAGTTGATGAAATAGGCCATGCGCTTTGATTGGTTCAATGTGACAAGTCACACATAATACTCATATTGTTCCTGATAGGCCACACCATTGTGTGCTCAATATTATAAAAGGGTATATAATGCTTTCTCAGGAACAAAATAATTCCATTTTTAAAATATGAAAGTCTGAAAACAATTGCAAAACAAAGCTAGAAGGGCTGCACATTAGCCCTCATGAGGCGAGCCATCCGGTACGTCACTGTTGTACCTCTGTTACACTTGGCAACTTAATAAGTACACTTTGAACGAGTACACTTTGCCGCAAGTGTCATTTACATGCTGTCACGTGAGAAAGTTTAGTGTCACTAGCTGCAAAGTACACTTGCCGGCAAGTGTGTTTCCCAACCTCACTTCGCTACGACCAAGTGTGTAGCCTCGGGACCGGTGGCTTGCACAGATATATGCTGTTGCTTAAAGCAGCGCTCATACATATTTAAACCATTGCTTTGGCTATAAAGGATACCACAATGTAATAAAACAAGTCATAATACAGCGAAAAACCTTGCTATTCTCACCCTCAGGTAGTTTGCGGCCACATCCGCCAGGAGGATGTGGCAGCACATCCTGTGCAATGGCTGCGTCTGTCGCATTGTTTACTTCCAGGCACACTTGTATGCGAGCCATTGCCTAGTCATTTGGGATGGCCTGTGCTACTGGCACTACTTCCACGAAGACAATGTGGTCCGATGATGAGACACAGGTGCAGACATAACAAACATATGTCGCGCTACAAATCCACCAATTGCCACTGCCATCATTTTCAAAGTAAACTTCTCTTTCTCGTGTAGCAGCCAAGCACCAAAATGACACTTTATGAGCGTAATACTTGCTCAAAGTGCACTTAAAAAAGCACTAACATCAAATTTAAAGATCGAGATGTGCCCATCATTCGATCGTTTGGTATGCATAGGTCTTCGGCGCCAAATTTGAACGACATCCGTTGCATGGAAGTTATTTTAATTCGATGTCAAACAGCGTAGAAAAGCTATGGAGAAAAAACGTAAAATAGACTGCCCTGCGACATCGACACTAGTGCTACGTGTTCGGTGTGATACATTCCACAAATACCATCCTGAGTTACGATGCCCTAGTAGTGATAACGTGTGCGATCCGAGTGTTCTTATTGTGGCGCCGACTGGCACCGAAGCTCTGAAATGCACTCGCTCGTCGCGTCTGATCTTCGTCGCACCGGTTTGAATGATTTCGTGAGATTATCAAGATAAAAACCACCGTTAAAAGAACGGCAAAAAAAAAAGAGGATGATTAAACATGTGCTTGTCGGTTAGCACGTCATAAAATCGTTGTGAGTTGCAGGTGAGTTGCAGTCGTCTAGTTCGGAGCACAGAAAAAGCACAATGAGGGTGTCTTTTAATAACACGTATGTGTTACACATCAACACGACCACAAGCTATCAAAAGTGTAACAGCGTATAGCCAGATATCATCGCTAACAAGTAACACGCAGGTATTGTTGAATTTTAGTTCATCTGTAGACTTCGCGTCCACGTAAAAGTGGTAATATACAGTGTTAACCGCGAGAGGCTGGATAGGTGGGCCATCTGGAGGCGCCAAAAAGAACCTGGCAAGCAGGAAACGTATTCTATTTTTCCGCTGATCCTCATTGGCGATAGCTATATTGCATTGACCCCTCTGCGTATACCTGAAGGCTTTGCATGCCAAAATACAACAATATAGCTGAGACACACAAGCGAAAATGACTGAAGCGTGCATCCTCAGGTACCTCTGCAGTGCTGCTTGGAACGGCATCCATTTCGGAATCATTGTTTTCAAAAGGTCGATTGAAGCAAAAATAATTCGCGACGTCTCGAATCGTGGGGATTCTAAGCTCCAGACTATTGTATTGAACCCGAGTCAACCCTTTGTACGGCGACGACAGCAATACAGGTGACAAGGCATGACTGAATGTGTATGCCTGGCAGACGAAATGTTTGCAGAGCAGCTGAGCCTGACGTCACGCTTTCTTGAGGTGAAGTGGTCAGCTGTGGCGTGATCTGGAGGTAACCGCAAGGTAGCGCCACTGTTGGTGCTCCCAGCGCTGAAAATGGCAGGATTGCCGGCCGTTTTGAATAGCCCTTGATACCAGTGATATAAATCAATAAAAGTGATAGTTATTCATTCGTCAGTTGCATTTTAGGTCGCAAATCGCTGCTGCAGGGTCTATAGCTACTCGCTGACGCAAAAATCTTGGCATGAGTAAATTTGATGTGAGTGCTCCTTTAGGTTGCCATGTGTGACAGGGGTATAAGAGACTCATAGAGATTGGAGGCTGCCTTTGATGTCAAGGGTAGAGTGAAATGCAGAAAAAAACACATTTTTTATCGTCTGCTGGGGTTTTGAAGATTGCAGACTAATAACTTTCGTTACCATGTACCAATTTCTCTATTTATTGTTGCATTCATTTATCTTAATAATTGGCACTGCACAAATTCCTGTGCAACAGAATGCAGACGAAAAAGCTTTGCAGGGCCGTTTTAAGGAAATTCCTCCCGCTGCATGACATTCCAGTGGTGTCCTTTTTCCGAAGCAGTTTCGAGAAACAGCTTAGCTCTGTGGTAGAACACCTGCTTGCTATACAGAAAGCCTGGATTCAATTCTCCTCCCACTGCATGACATTTGTGTGGTGCTCTTTTTACGAAGCAGTTTCAAGAAACAGCTTGGCTCTGTGGTAGAACATCTACTTGCTACACAGGAAGTTTGGGTTCAATTCTCCTCCCACTCCATGACATTTGTGTGGTGTCCTTCTTCCGAAGAAGTTTCAAGAAACAGCTTGGCTCTGGGGTAGAACATCTACTTGCTACACAGAACGCCTGGGTTCAATTCTCTTCCCACTCCATGACATTTGTGTGGTGTCCTTTTTTCCAAGCAGTTTCAAGAAACAGCTTGGCTCTGTGGTAGAACATTTACTTGCAACACAGGAAGCCTGGGTTCAATTCTCCTCCCACTCCATGACATTTGTGTGGTGTCCTTTTTCCCAAGCAGTTTCAAGAAACAGCTGGCGCCTGTGTAGAACATCACTGCGACCAGGAAGCCCTGGCTTCAATTCTCATTACACTGCAGACATTAGTGTGGTTTCCTTTTTTCCAAGTATTGTTCAAGAAACGCTTGGCTCTGTGGTAGAAAATGCTACTTGCTACACAGGAAGCCTGGCTTCACTTCTCCTCCACTCCATGACATTTGTGTGGGTGCACTTTCCCAAACTGTTCAAGAACAGCTTGGCTCTGTAGTGAAAATCTACTTGCTACACAGGAAGCCTGGCTTATTCTCCTCCCACTCCATGACATTGTGTGGTGTCTTTTTCCCAAGCTTTCAACACGACCACAAGCTATCAAAAGTGTAACAGCGTATAGTCAGATATTATCGCTAACAAGTAACACGCAGGTATTGTTGAATTTTAGTTCATCTGTAGAGTTCGCGTCCACATAAAAGTGGTAATATACAGTGTTAACCGCGAAAGGCTGGATAGGTGGGCCATCTGGAGGCGTATAAAAAAGAACCTGGCAAACAGGAAACGTATTCTATTTTTCCGCTGATCCTCATTGGCGATAGCTATATTGCATTGACCCCTCTGCGTATAACTGAAGGCTTTGCGCGCCAAAGTACACCAATATAGCTGAGACACACAAGCGAAAATGGCTGAAGCGTGCATCCTCGGGTACCTCTGCAGTGCTGCTTGGAACGGCATCCATTTCGGAATCACTGTTTTGCAAAAGGTCGATTGAAGCAAAAATAATTCGCGACGTCGCGAATTGTGGGGATTCCAAGCTCCAGACTATCGTATTGAACCCGAGTCAACCCTTTATACGGCGACGACAGCAATACAGGTGACAAGGCATGACTGAATGTGTATGCCTGGCAGACGAAATGTTTCCGGAGCAGCTGAGCTTGACGTCACGCTTTCTTATGGTGAAGTGGTCAGCTGTGGCGTGATCTGGAGGCGACCGCAAGGTAGCGCCACTGTTGGTGCTCCCAGCGCTGAAAATGGCAGGATTGCCGGTCGTTTTGAATAGCGCTTGATACCAGTGATATAAATCAATAAAAGTGATAGTTATTCATTCGTCAGTTGCATTTTAGGTCGCGAATCGCTGCTGCAGGGTTTATAGCTACTCGCTGACGCAAAAATCTTGGCATGAGTAAATTTGATGTGAGTGCTCCTTTAGGTTGCCATGTGTGACAGGGGTATAAGAGACTCATAGAGATTGGAGACTGCCTTTGATGTCAAGGGTAGAGTGAAATGCAGAAAAAAAAACATTTTTTTATCGTCTGCTGGGGTTTTGAAGATTGCAGACTAATAACTTTCATTACCATGTACCAATTCTCTATTTATGGAATCTTTATCCAAATGTGGTAGAAAATCTACTTCGAATGCACTGAAAAAGCTTGGCCTTTAAGAAATTCCTCCCTGCATGACATTCCGGTGGTGTCCTTTTTCCCAAGCAGTTTCAAGAAACAGCTTGGCTCTGTGTAAAACCTCTACTTGCTACACAGAACGCCGGTGTCAATTCTCATTCCCACTCCATGACATTGTGTGGTGTCCTTTTTTCCAAGCGTTTCCAGAAACAGCTTGGCTCTGTAGGTAGAAGAAGTCTACTTGCTAACACAGGAAGCCTCGGTTCAATTCTCCTCGCCACTCATGTACATTTGTGTGGTGGTCCTTTTTCCCAGGCAGTTTCAAGAAACAGCTTGGCTCTGTGGTAGAACATCTACTTGCTACACAGAAGCCTGGCTTCAATTCTCCTCCCACTCCATGACATTTGTGTGGTGTCCTTTTCCCAAGCAGTTTCAAGAAACAGCTTGGCTCTGTAGTAGAACATCTACTTGCTACACAGGAAGCCTGGCTTCAATTCTCCTCCCACTCCATGACATTTGTGTGGTGTCCTTTTTCCCAAGCAGTTTCAAGAAACAGCTTGGCTCTGTAGTAGAACATCTACTTGCTACACAGGAAGCCTGGCTTCAATTCTCCTCCCACTCCATGACATTTGTGTGGTGTCCTTTTCCCAAGCAGTTTCAAGAAACAGCTTGGCTCTGTAGTAGAACATCTACTTGCTACACAGGAAGCCTGGCTTCAATTCTCCTCCCACTGCATGACATTTGTGTGGTGTCCTTTTTCCCAAGCAGTTTCAAGAAACAGCTTGGCTCTGTAGGTAGAACATCTACTTGCTACACAGGAAGCCTGGCTTCAGTTCTCCTCCCACTGCATGACATTTGTGTGGTGTCCTTTTTCCGAAGCAGTTTCAGGAAACAGCTTGGCTCTGTTGTAGAACATCTACTTGCTACACAGGAAGTTTGGGTTCAATTCTCCTCCCACTCCATGACATTTGTGTGGTGTCCTTTTCCCAAGCAGTTTCAAAAACAGCTTGGCTCTGTAGTAGAACATCTACTTGCTACACAGGAAGCCTGGCTTCAGGAAGCCTGGCTCCTCCCACTGCATGACATTTCTGTGGTGTCCTTTTTCCGAAGCAGTTTCAGGAAACAGCTTGGCTCTGTGGTAGAACATCTACTTGCTACACAGGAAGTTTGGGTTCGATTCTCCTCCCACTGCATGGCATTTGTGTGGTGTCCTTTTTCCCAAGCAGTTTCAAGAAACAGCTTGGCTCTGTTGTAGAACACCTACTTGCTACACAGAAAACCTGGGTTCAATTCTCTTCCTAATGCATGACATTTGTGTTAGGTCCTTTTTCCGAAGCAGTTTCGAGAAACAGCTTGGCTCTATGGCAGAACACCTGCTTGCTACTCAGGAAGCCTGGCTCTAATTCTCACTTGAACCGAAAACTTAATTTTATTTCCATATTTCTCGACTGTTGGCCATGGACAATGCCGATTTTTCTTTCACAACCATTGGCACTGACACCAACATAGGACAAGGATGTCTATGCAGGCTAGTTGGTACTTAATTGCAATAATGAGTGCCTCTTTCCTGTCAACTACTACTTGCAATTTTGTACGCAGCGCTACACCCAATTATTACAACGAAGGAGTTTCTGCAGAACAAGCTTTTTAATGCTATCGTGTTAATATAGCATGCAACGAGTTTTCATGCACAGGATTCGAGCGTTTCGACCACAATACTGTGAATCTTTAGTATGGCGAAGAAAGACTCATGAAGAACATTCAGTGACTCAAGAAAGAACATTAAGTGATATTTTTTTTTCTTACGACCAGCTAGGAGGGTTGCAGGCGCCGACACGTCTATGAACAGGGGTGCTGTTCCGGACACTGCCAAATTCTGCCAGATTGTCGAAATTCGCCATCTTGTCAGCTATGATTAGTCCAGAAGGCTGCAGCGGCGTCTCTTAATTGCTTTAAAATACCGTCATTACCGATTTTGACAATATTTCTGAATTAGACAATGTCTATAGTCGCACTAGAGATCTAATAAAAACACGGGTTCGAATGCACGGCGGCGCTGCAGTCGAAGTCTCTTGGCGTGAGACATAGAGTTAATATACAGACTCTATATTAACTCTACACGCGAGACCACCGCGAGAGCGGTGACGTCACGCGCGCCGTGGCGCCCCCGTTGGCGGCCGGCGCGCCGCTCCTGGTGTCGAGGAGCAGACGGCGGCCGTCGAGGAGGTTGCAAGAAGTGTCAGTTTGAGGCTGCTAGTCGGTCGTGCTTAGTCTCGTGGTTGTATAGCTCACCCTCCCTTCGTTCGCAAGTCGCCAGTGGTCCTCCCAGCGGGACACAGGCCAGTCGCCCTCATCGCTAAAAGGTGAGACCACGCGCACGGAATCTAGGAACCGGTGGTTGTGCTTAAAGGCCGGTGAGGAAGGCCCGGTGACACGGGAAGGGGGCCGGGCAGCGGCAACCATCGATTGAGGAGGTTTGTAGAAGGAGGAGGAGCTCGCGCTGCGGCTATCGATTGGCCCGGCGGCCACGAGGTTTCCTTCGAAGGGAGCGGCGGTGGCCGCCATACCCCAGTGTGAAGACCCGCCTGAAACCGCGACAACTGCAGGCGCAGCGAAGCGCGCGAGCTAATCTTGGGCTGGGTCCGGATCTAAAGCCCAGCTCGGGCGGCGGTGCCGTTCACTCTATAGATGCGCTGAATTCTCACTAGTACCAAAACGCTTCGTGATCCGCGGGCGTCGGATGTCATCTCCATCTACCGGTGCTCTGATCGTAAGGATGGGACGTCCGATGCATAAGCCGAGCTTGCTTAGAGTGACGTCTACAGCGGCGAACTTCGCATAATTTAAAATTAAGACTAGAGAAGAAACTAATGCCACCTGAACCGCCTTGTTTGCTGACTATACTTAAATTGGGAAATGGATGATTAGTCACCTCTACGGTGACTGAGCTGCTCGAGACTACTTCGCACCCGGCTCTTTCGGGTCAGAGTAAAAGTTGGGCCCGTTTTAGTCGCTGATATCGTTACCCATCCCAAGGCATGATGCCTATCCTGACAGCAGTGCAGGAAAGTTCGCAAAGGATGAGTGCGGGCTCTTAAGGCGTTGTCGAACTCTTGCAAGTCGCCCTTTATTGAACCTTGGTTGCTAATACCACGGACTAAAATTAAAAAAAAACAGAACCTTCGGTCGGCGATTGTGATTTAAGAGCAAGATACGACGTCCTCGATCCGGGGGCTTGCTTCCCAGCAGGGGCGCCAGTACGCCAGAAGTGTGCGAACTCGTACATGGCCGTATAACTATAAATCACGAGCTGTTTGGTTTGAAAAGCACACTTGCGGTTCACGTAGCGATCGTATGGCGTGTTGCAAATGTGCGTCAAATAAAAGCGCCAGTAAATATTTAGTTCTGGCAAAGTGCGCAGAGGCGCTTGTTTTTGGCATTCTCTAAAGAATCTGGAACAATTGATGTTGGACGCTCATGTATATAATTATTGCTTCTATTTATAGATCATGTCGTTGCTAACAAAAGTGAGGTCGGTGAACCGACATCGCCTGCGTACGGTACATCCGGGAGTTCGTGCATATTGACATGGCTATGGTATAAAACCACACGTATATGTTTGCACGCCAGACTGACCACGTGCCGTCAGGCTGGTTCTGATTTTATACGCTGCATCATACAACGAATTCGCAACGTTTTTCGCCATTTCGTTATACAGAACCTGCTCGGCTCTGTTCGACGTGTACACGAAACGCCTTCGCGACGATCGCTTCGGTACAAGCCACTTTCGTTACAACGAGGTTCGCTTGCGCAGTGCAGAACAGTTGGATTGCGTAACGGCACAGTCTGGTGTCGCAGCGTGGGCCCATTAGTGCGTCCTGCTGTCTCTCAACATGTCCGCGCACAAAGGGCCCATATTTACTTCGACGCGACGCTGTCCGGGGAGAGTAAATGGGCGATCTTCCCATTTTTTTTCCTGCAAAGTGAAACCCCGCTGACCCGTTCGCCGCAGTGGGCCGGTCGTTGCCCTTAGCTCGATACCGCGCTCTAGCTGCGGAGGCAGCGCAACAGCGCAGCTCTTACGAGAAAAATGATAATAATAAAGAGAGAATGGGTATCGCCACTACGCTTCATTGGTTTCGAGCTCGATACCGCTCGGCGATAAAGTTCGCTAGAAATATTGGTGTAACATTTCTTACGGAATAAACAACTGCTGTAATCTATATACTGAGAAACGAGTATTCGCCGGGTCCGAAGAAATATGAGAAAATGAGTGCACATACGCAAGTCGCAAAAACGAAACAATTCGCCTACAAACGTTGCGGCTGGTAGACCGGCCTTAATCGGAGTGACTTCGTTTGGCTGACACATTCCTTTTAAAAGTGCAGCTGCGCGAGGTGGAGCTATAGTTATCGATGTACGTACGAAAGCCTGGGTGCCACAGGAGTGGTTTGTTAATGAGCCACGATCCTGTACGCTTTGCACACTATTCAAGGTCCTCCTCTGAACTTTTTACAGGGGGAGGGGGTGCATCCAGCATGGCCATCCTTTTTTTCACTACCGTGTTATGGTCCACAATATTAGTCAACAGTGTGAAATAGCGTGCTAAGTTGGCTGGCAATCCTGACTGAATACTGTTTCACACTAATATGAAGGACTTGAGTGTGCCACTCAAGCTTATTGCTCATTATCATCATAAGCAAACAAAAAAGTTATCCGAAATTCCAGAGGAGACAGTCCCACTCCAGACGCCCATAACACAACTGAAAACTCACAGGATACCCTGTGCATTCGCCTAAGACGACTCGAAGACGAAAGCCATATTCTGTTTCTCTCTCGATGCACTTACTATAGAGACTGGACCACGCGCTGCGACGGGTACGTGTGGTGAGAGGCCTCAAAGAGGTACCGACAACTTTTCTCGGAGGCGAGTTTACTCTGCCATACAAATCTGTACACAAAGACGGCTTTGGGCAAGTGTGGCGCTCAGCAAATGCTGATATTTAATTTTGATATTAAAGTCAAATTGCGCACCTACCGACATCGACACTAACTTGACGCCAGGCTACAGTACTAATCCTGGTGACTTCACGCAGCAATCTGGCAAGTTCTGATGACGTCAAGCGCAAAAAAAAAAAAAAAACAAATGGCAGCTTGCGAGTCGCCGTCTCGATCGTCTGCTCGCGCCGTGCGGTCCCTAGGGGCTTTTAGCTTGTACGGATACTTATTTACGTACGGAAACCTTTACGTAACGTTAGCTACCCGCCGGAGAGGCTTTACGTTTGCGGCCCTATCTCGTAAATACACTTTCGTTCGTAGGAACTGGTGACATCCACATTGCAAAAACTCCAACCTTGGAGTCAAAATAGGCCGAAGTTCGAGCGCCAATAGCGATGAAATTGTTTCAGCCGAATTAATAAAGCTAGAATGGCCTAAAGCATCAAAATCGTGAACGCAGAAACCCCGACGTCTGGATAGGTGGCGCCATCTAGCAGGACAAAAATAAACCACAATATCACTAAGTTGTTATTGCAGAAATATTGAGCATTGTACGTCTGGCGTAAAAACCGCGCAGCGGCGTTGTTAGGAATGAGTTACCGTTTAATTATTTTCAGCTCAAAAACAATACGTGTGAGTCAATGTGTTCATGACTGCTTACATGAAGTGTAACAAGACTTCGAAACCATCGTGGCAGTAACCTTGCATTTCTTCACCTTTTCGCGCATACGATGATACTGTACACGATAAAGAAACATCTCGCGATTTTGCCGGAGCGCTGATTCAATCCTTTCTTAGTTAAAAATAGTTTAAATGCTGTTAGCATCACCATTCATGGCATACGTTTGCGTACGTACGTAAACGTTTACGTATGAGAAGCTAAAACGTTGAAAAACATGCGTGTCGGTAAGGCAGTAAACGCAAACCGGGTATTCAGTAACAATTTAACGTAAAGAAGTATATGTACATGCTAAAAGGACCCACTGCCGTCCAGTATACATATGAAGCGAGCTAGCAGAGTCTGGAATAATGTACGTGCACGCCAATACAAGGCATACGCTTATCAGAGGGCAAATGAATCGTTTGCTTTCGAATTTTTCGTCATGGCACCAATATTATTCCCTGTGAATCGTCTTGCGCGAGTGAAACAAAGGACAACAGGTGCAAGTTCCACCGATTCCAGTCCGATCCAGCGCTGAGACAAGCGGGGGCCAAGGCGGAAACTACACACCAACCAAGCGGAGTTTGCTCTGTTTGATGCACTTAACTTTGGACACTTACACGCGCAAAATGCTGTTGCTGATTGACTAAATAACTTTACTTGGTCCTGAGGAGGCGATGACCCCCTAAAGGGCCCCGTCTGCGGACCGCGCCCATGACGGGACCGGGATGTTAAACTCGACGGCCACGTCATGAGCCTTCTGGACTGCCCGAAGTTGGTCGTCCTCGTGGAGACTTGTGAGGAGAGTAGTCCTTTTCTGTGATTGGAAACCCGTCGTCCGCGCGCAACTCGGGGCATTGCCACAGCATATTTAGCAAGTTGCATCGCGAGATGCTATATCGGGGGCACCCCGGCCTTAGTTCGCTTATGAATCTAGCTGCTGACTGACTTCCGATTGTTGACGAAGACTGCGCCTTACGGCTGCGACAGTTGCCACACGTGCAGCGCGCAGCAGACGATCGAAGAAGCGACGCGCGGACGAGGATACGCCACGAAAACTCGCGCGCGCACATGCTAACGCTTGGTGGCGCTGCTAACCAAGTCGTGACGCCAGGGTACAGTAGGAACCGAAACTATCGTTTAAAAGCATCCTATAAATAATTTTCGGTGTACCGGTACGTTTCCTACGCTCCCGAGAGCTTGGTCTACCATTTGACGCAAAAAAAAAATTAAATTAGTGAAAACTTTCGTGTCAGTGTCCTTTAAAGCCCATCGTAAACTGCAATCGACTATCACTGATTTTTTAATGAAATAAAAAAAAACAGATCAACAGCTGATAACCGAGGCAAAATAGTGCTGCTAGAACACAGTAGGCCTTGCCTAGCTTTGCCCAACGGCGCCGCTGCTGATGCTCACGATGACAGTGGAGGCTTTCGACTTCAGCTGCCCATTGTTGCGAGGCTTCCGCATTTTGTTCTGCCAATGACAGGTATACAAGACGAGGGTCGACTTTGCATTGCACATTGCATTGCACTAGCGATCCCCCTCCAAAGCGAAGGAGGGGGATCGCTAGCGTGCCTCCACTTTACGTCAGAGTGAAACCTCAATGTATGACAACGTCTAAAACGACCCCTTAACAATATATTATCAACAGCAGTGCCCTTATGACCGAGAAATTAAGGTAAATGCAAGAGAACACATGCA